TAAAACAAAAGTGATCCCCGAGATTCTTTGAAAGCTACTTCAAAAACAAAAGGAGTCCCCAAGATTCTTTCAAATTACTTCAAAAACAAAACAAAAAGGGTCCCCGAGATTCTTTCAACCTACTTGAAAAATAAAACAAAAGGGATCCCCGAGATTCTTTAAAGCTACTTCAAAAACAAAACAAAAGGAGTTCCTGAGATTCTTTTAAACTACTTCAAAAATAAAACGAAAGGAGTCCCCGAGGCTCTTCAAACGACTTAGAAAAACAGACACAAAGGGGAAATTTCCAGGGAGAATAATTTTTACCAAGTTACTCAGTATAATGGGTAACACAAAACAAACTAATAATTAAAACAATATGACCACGTATTTAATTTTTAAAACGTTGGTAATCCATTTGTATCCGATTACATTCCCAGCTAATTCAGTTGCAAATTATACGGCAATATCTGTACATTCGAAATTATGTTTGTTTTCTGTTTTATTGGCATTTTCAGAAAAAAGATTTATAGATGCATTTATCTTCGTTGACATTTCAATCGACTGCTAATTAGAAATCAGAAGATTGTGACATTTTAAACAATAAGTGTGAACAACTGCATTCTGTATTGACATGTGTACGTAATTGTAAACATCGTAAAATTTCTGCGTAAAATATGACTTCATAAAAAGTAGAATTTCAATGTACTGTTTACGGGGCCACCACAATGATTTTTTTTCTTTATTTGTACATACAAATACAAAAGTGGAATATCTAGAAAGATTTCAGCACTCGTCGAACCTGGTGGCGCGTGTTTAAAACAAAGGGGAAATTTATTAGTTTTCAGTATACTGGTTCAGCGGCAGTTCATGGAAATTCTCATTACTTTAATTGTAGTACGTTAGGCACAGCCTACTCTGAGTTATTATATTTTCGATTGTGCGATAATAAGCGATAACACAAGATCTAGCCACAGTGGTACAGTATACAACTGTTACCATTACTGAATAGTTTCACTAACGACCGTTAACCTTAACGATCGAAAATTTATCGAACAAGGATTGCTTCCACGGTGACTTCAAACTCATAATAATTTAAATTATCTTACATGACGTCATCACCGTACTACAAGGGATGAATAAATACATTTTGATAGCGACCGAGAAGTCAAAACGGCGAACGTGACTCCACCAGTTTCCCCTGTGCATATTTCGTGCATCGCGCCATCAGGTCCAGATTCGAAAAAAGACACCACCATTGCATACTCGTGCATAATTGGCCCGGGGCCCGGCATACTTGTGGTAGGTTGCGAGCCTCTTAATCTCGCTGCTGTCACGGGCAGACGTTTTCGCGTATCGACGTCGACGTCGCGACGCACGTGGCATCGTTTGTTGTTTGTTTGGTGCGGGTGCGTGGGATCGGTCGGCGTGGCGGTGGTGGTTCTCGGGGGGTAATTAGCGAAGCACGGGGCTGTTTTCTCGAAATGAGATTTTGGGGGCGCGCTGGTTGAGTGATGGACCGTCGTTTCCAAGGTAACAATTACCTCTCGGCTCCACGTGACGGTCCGGTCGAGCCTTCATGGGAACCAATTACGGCACCGACTTGATGGATGGTCCAATCAGGGATAGGACGCTGTTCGTCGTTCGAAACGGACGAACTCTCTTGGCTTTACCACCAGGTGACCTGCAGGGTCACACCGGCAAATTGCAACGCCGACTTTGATACGAGGCTTCATGGGCGGGAGCGTTCTCACGTTACTACACGGGCATATACGGGGCGTTGCTTTCGACGTGCAAAATGCCGCATTTTCGAAAATCACGCTATATAGGCAAATGGTACGATTTGACTAAAATTGATTTTCTGCAGCTTTGTAAATAAATGTCAAGGACAGATGTGTTAATTTGGCGCCTGTGTTGCTTAAAGGTTTGAACTTTTGCATAAATTTGTTTTTGTTCAATATTCCACTGGTGTTGAAGGAAAAATTGTATTCCACGAAATCACCAGGTTTGTTTCTATGAGGTGAAAAAAATCTTCATCGGAACTACACGACGAGATTGAATTAATTCATTGTGTATTACTTAACTAAATTCTTAAAAGGGAATTCCACGGTATGTGATTCGGGACACGGCAAATGGTCGCCTAATGGTCAGTAAAGATAATAGCAAATGTCAGTTTGTGTTCTTGTGCCGCCTTGTTTGACTTAGTTCGAATGGTCCAACACAAAAACCTAAATGAACCTTTGACCTTGTTGGTGTGCTACATGACGTGTCTTTATAACTCTATCACACATTAACCAAGTTTTCAAATAAAACATTGCCAGAGCTGTGTATGCGATATATACCACAGCTGTCAGAAAAAAAGTATAATTTTTCGTAATTATATATTCCTTATATGGTGCGGTAAAAATATCTGCATCATGGAGATAAAAATGGCACCGTTATTTTTAAAAAAGAAAGTCGGGTTATTATTATAACAATTTCGTTTACTAAATGCAGCTTTCCCCGCCGAATTTCTGCCCACAACTAGTGTATGCAAAACGACAAACATCACGTTAATATTGATCTCATAAATTTGGGGTCGAAAAACATTAACACTATGATCTGGAAGTACAGAAAACGACTTGGCTATAATTTTGATGTTAAAATTTTATAAAAAAAAATGAATATTAACACCCCTTAGAAAGGTGTCAAAATTCTATTTTCCTTGTTATTTGTTGCCCGTTTGCTACCTGCGATATGCCATTGTCGACCAAATTGTGGCTAATAGTATTTATTATCCTCGTACGTGACGGCAGAAAAAACTTGTTAGCTTAAGTAGAAATATAATCAATCTTTTAAAATCATTGTTGTTAGGGAGTTCAATCAACTTTAGACTACATTAATGGCTGTCGTTATTATGGTTCATTGCGAAGATTGCCTAGTTGATTCTGCGGTTAAGAAAAGTAGGAGGAGTTTTGGCATCTGAAATGTCAATTATCTTGTATCTGATTTCGTCGTCGTTATTATTTGTTTTCTGGGTAATGTTGCTGGAAAACTTAAACCAAAAATTAAGTAATCCGATAAACGGTAATATACTTAGAGCAGTTTTAAGCTTTTTCCGGTTCCTAATTTACAGTGTGGTAATAAAAATAAAAAATTGTATTGCATGTTTATTTAAAGCATGTGCAACCTGGTGTAAAACTGACACTAAAACCCATATAAAAAACAGGTCTTGAACCTTAACATTGATCGTAACAGAATCTTCCTTGACGTTGCTAAATTAAGGATTTTGTGGAGTTTTTGAAACGAACCACAGTGTATCGTTTACTAAAACGGGACTTGTTGACGGCTATAAAACGAATTAATGCAAAATGACAAAAATGTGCTCAATGCATCATAATCACCTCATTATTCACACCAATTTTGTTTACTAGACTAAATTTCTTGCTTGAATAATAGCAAGCGTTTTATTTGCATGGTCTAAGTACGTACATGTCTGTGTTTTTGACCCTTGCTAAGTACTACCATTTAAACAATACTTAATTAACAATGTTTTTAATCCCATTCAATTAAAAATAATCCCGATTTCAACTAGTCGAGCCATTTTTCCAAAATCTGGTGCATTACTTAAATCCCTTAATTCGCTTTTTGAAAAGATTCGTTTTAAACACGATAAACCTTTTTTGAATGGCACCTTTTGGTGTGTCAATAACTTATCTACTTAGAAATGCAAATATTGTTAACTGTTATTATCTACTTAATCACAGTTATTAGTATACTAGTTATCTATCATCACGTCAACGTGAGAAAAATCGTTTAGATTATAGACACAGTTATACGAGTCTGTGCCGTGCTTATAAAATGTTTTGTTTGGGTAACTACGTGCCTACATAATAGAAGAAAATATTTTAAAATGAATGTTATCAGTTTGTAGACAGGCCACGTAAATACGGAGTTGCATTGTGTGTGTAATACAAGTGAAGAAACGATTTTTGGGAAACCACTAATCCTAGATTATCATGTAACTAAGTACCAAACTATTCACTAACTTGTTTGTCTTGACTGAGTGAAAAATAAGTTGTAAAAGCATAAATAGGTCGTTAATATACATTAAAAATAAAGTGGGACCGATAGCGGACCCTTGAATACCAAAGTGTAATTGAAGGCGTGAAGAATTGTTATAATTTAAGGAGACAATTTGATATCTTGTTCTAAATTAAGGAAATACTAAATTTATGGCTGCTTTTTGGGCTCTTAATTTTTTTTTTTTTGTTGAAAGGATTTTTCAAATATTATTTAGCAAAATAAGAGCATTAGAAGCAACTTCAGAGAGTCCTATTTGTGTATCTTTGCAAAATATTTCTCTAATGTTTAGACCACCGAACTGCCATGGGGTGTATAATGTAATCTGAAAATCCGTCACTCATATATTAACGGCCGAATTTCCAAACATCAAAGTATGTATAATTTAGCACTTTTCGCATTTTCCCAGCATTATTTATCCTTTTCCGGGCTCAGCCGTGGGCAACGCAAAACCTCGTTACGTAATCGATTCATTGTTTTCGTCCTGCCTTTCGTGGTGATACCCATTCCGGCCGCGCGAACCCTTCCTATTACTCATCCTCAGGTACATACGAAACACAAGGCGACCTCATTCGCCGAAGGTGCGTCCATATCTCATTCCCAATCAGCCAGCGGAAATTATAATGCACTGACATCATAATGACGTTCATCACTCATTATCCGCGAATTGTAGGATCCCCGACTGCCCCCAGCGAATGAAAATGCCAACACACACACACACACACTGCGTGTGCGTGCATGTGTGTGTGCATCTGGAGGTCCTCCTCGCCGCGTTCGCGCGCCTCCCGCAACTTCGCCATTTCGCCGCAACGCGCCACTGCCGTTGCGCGGCGCACGCGCACGCCGTTGCCATGGCTGCGAGGCGGGAATGCGGCCGTCGCCATGGCAACGCTTCCCCTTCCACGGTCGCGGCGGCGCGGGTGGGGGACCGAGCCGCCGCTGCTGGCGTTGCTACTCACCGGGACTGCCGAGGAAGACGGAGGAGTAAAGGACGCCTCTTCGCGCAGCGTCGTTGGCGGCCCGAGCGTCTGGAGGCGACGACCATTCTCGCCTCGGACACCATTTGCCTGCAAAAAATAACGACAACGGTTAGGATGGGCGGCGGGCACTCGGATTATTTGATCGATCCGAGCTGGTGCATCGAGGATGGGACGAAATCAAGAGCGCCGCTGGGGGAGGCAGCGTCGGGCGACGGGACCGTGGTCGCGCGTTCTTTCGACATTTGGGTATGTTGGGACCGGGAATAGTTACAAATTGGGTTCTATTTTTCGATGGCGAAGCAAAAATTTGCTATACTGTGGGGAGCAAAAAAAAGTTATTAAGATGTCGTTTTTGAATACTTTTTAGTCTTAAAAATTAGGATAATTTCTTTAATAGCGTCGTTCGATAATTTAAACGTGGTGTTACTCTTGCTTACAAAATTTTGACATTCACGAAATTATCACGGATTTAACTGATCGCGAAAAGGGCCAAATCGAGGCATATTATGATCAGGGTTTAAGCTTCACGGCTATAGGGGAAGAGACCGGTTAACAACATCCAAAACAGTGTGGAAATGGGCGAGAAAAGTGTGGAATTGACTCCACGAACTAAACGAGATTTTTTTTGTTTTCACAACAAATGTAAAATTACAGTGTTTTCTAATGAAAAAATTAACATTGATTGATCCGATGGATTTAGATACTACTAGCACGATCCGCTGGGACTATTTGGGACGTTTAATAGCGTAAGAACGAGCACTTTGGCATTTATTTCTCCTAGAAGTGCATCTTAAACCACATACACACTTTTGTTTAACAAAAATAAAGTCATTTTTCAGGAGATAATGCATCCCTTCATGTCTCTGAAGTCCTTTAAAGAATGGTTTACAATGAAAATAAAATTGTTATAGCCTGCCCCAAGTCCTGATTTTAATCCCACTGAAAACGTATGGGCTAATATCGTTAACGAAGTGTGCAAAAATGGGAAGACTTGGTATAGTCCAAGTATATATGTAGAACGAATAATGTATAAACTGATTCAAGCAAATACATTAGTATTAATTTATATAAATTTCATACACTTATTAGGGACAATTGTGGTAACACCGTGTGATTTTTTAAATTTCTGCTCTAGTTTTCTAATTTTTTCTAATTTTTTGTTCTTATTTAATAAACTTTACCAAATTAATTATTTTATGTCGCTTCAATACTTTTGAAAACAGACATAATCTTTACACAATTTGTTATTTTTATCAACTGTAGATATTACAAATTTGGCTTTTTGTAGTTTCGCCAATGGTAGAACACGGAAACGCAAGTTTACTGTCTTCATTTTTTGTTACTGGGAAGATAACGATCACTGAACGACCAAACTGATTTACTTGGAAATTTCAAGTGCTGCTTAAAATTATCGTGATATGGTGCAAAACTGATCAAAATTTGTCCATTCATCCTCTCCATAAAATTGATGAACTTATTCAAACGTTGCTAAATCAATCTCACTTGAAATGTGTATCAGCATTGCACACTTACCTGATTTAACAGTTAGTGTACATATTATAATTTTATGTTTTCTGATTACATAAGATTTCGTAATTTCATTAAACTACAAAAAAATATTTTAGAGTAAGAGCACATAAAAGTAAAATTTATAGATAGTGTTTGATTTTTAGGTATTAAATTAAATTACAGTAAAATGTCTCAAAAAGTAACGACGTATCAAATTTTCTTAAAATTATTGCTCCAAAGTAATCTTATATTTAGCAATATTTTCTGCATATTAAAATTAGTACTTTTATATTTATACCTACTCAAATATTGATGTGATCATTTCAAAAAGTTGAATATGAAGTAAATCTACGTGTAGATTAATAATAATCTCTATTTTACATTTTTTTAACCATTGTAATTCTACGTAAAAAAATGTGAAATTATTTATTCATTATTTGAGTGCTTTTCTGGTCCCGGTTTTGTACAAAATTTTCAAAACTAAAACACTACGTTCCCGTCGAGATCACTTAATCTCAGTAGAGTCAACATCAAACAAGATAACATGCTTAAAATCGAGTATAAGTTCATGCTCGACTTGAAGTATATACCTACTCGAAGTGGTTTGCATAAAAATTTGTATTTTATAAACCTTTGAATCAGAATAACCAACTGTACACAAACAGCTAGAGATAGTTTGAATTTAACCTTTTGCTTTGCTAAAATTTCAGAATTTGATTCGTATTTTTCCATGTAAATTCTGGCCACTTTAAAGCGGTAACTATCGGAATTATGAAGTCTGGGAAACGTCTCATTGTTGGAATAAGTAAGTTTATTTGTGAGAGTTCCTTCCGGTGGTCATTGCCGCCCGCTTAAAACAGTCATAATAAATAAGCTTACCTAGGAATTGCTCACCAGACTTCATAATTGCATTGGTTATTGTTTAAAAGTCAGACTGGTCAATATTTGTGTGGAAAATTTTCTCGATTTTAATTGTGCTCACAGTATTAGATAAACTAAAAATCGTATTTCACTAATTCACCACCTGAGTGACAACAAAAACAACTAAATATATTTATTTATTTATTTATTTTTTTTTTTTCAAATAACTGTCTATCCTAGAGTTCGGTCTCAAAAGTGTTTTCTTAGAACAAACTGATAGAACATAACTTTTTTCGAATTTTTTTCTTTGTAGTATGAATAATTAAAACATATTTAATAATAAAAAGTTATGAAGATCTTAAATTCAATTTAACCTTTTCCTTTTTTCATCGTTTAAAGACATTCCCCAATCACGTCCACGAAGTGTCACTTTTTTGTACTAAATTGTCAAAATTACTTTTTGGATTCACATGTCACTTTTTTGGACTGATATGTCACTTTTTGTACTCAGATGCCAAAAACTTATTTTTCGTCCACCCGTTCTGAAGAATATAGTTATGACTATTTTTTTATTAGTAGAGGAGCAAAGCAGAACTTTGGTTTTTATGAAATCTGCAGTGCTTTTCCTACAAAACGAAAACAGCCACTGTGTGGTCGCCCAAAAAACATTGTGTCAAAGAGACCTTCGCATCGGTCGAAAAAGTTCTTCTTTATGGCCTTGATACACAAGTACCCATTAATATTCAATCATAAAAAAGCAAGGCAAGGGCACCCTTCGATTGCAATCCGGTCCTGCTATTACGCATTGACGTTCTGGAATGCCACGAACTGTTGACTGTATTTTTGATAAAAATTCGTTGGGAAAAGTTATTCCAACAATTTTCAGAATGCGTGTATGCATTGTACGAATGTTTTGCAACAACTAACTGTTTCTGTCGATACCAAGGGTCGTTTATTCGAGTCCAATTCAACGTTGAGCTTGGGTTTCAACTCTTGGTAATTGTCGGGAGTATATTTAATCACACAGGTGATTAGTTTCATCATGGCAGCAGGAATGAGTTCGTAATTTCACATCATACAATGCAATCAAAAACATTCAGGCTTGATTTAGTGTCACAAAAATTTTGACGCTGTTATTGTTCTCGATATTTTTTTTTATTCTCAAATCTGAAAATTATCTACAAGAACAAGATTTATGACACTAATTTTCTTCATACATGCACTGTTCTAACATACTTATGTGGGATCAATAATTTCCTGCTCATTTTAATTTTAATGAAAGTAGTCATAAATATTCATAGTTGTGAGCAGTCATTTTCTGGAAATCAAAATCTGCATAAAGTGGAAATATAATAAAATGATGACCTCACCGTGGAAGTTTGTTTCGTAATTTTAAACAAAATTTATTTTTCTGCTATGATAACACAAATTGTTCTCTACTTGACTTTTGTAACATGTGTCACCAAAACATATCTCTGGATAAATTCCTGCGTAAATCTTTCCTGTATCGTAGAAATAAAGCGAGATGAGATACACCTACTTGTATGATTCACATTCTAGTTAATTTATTTAGAGGCAAGAATGCTAAAAATCCCCATCTTCGTCACCTTATTGTGCATTGTCCGGAAGACAATTTCGTTTTTAGATCGCAAAACTTACACTTACCCATTAATTTTTTATCACAGCGTTTATTCGTCGTTTATTTAACTTCAGCACTACCGGGGTAATTCATAAATAGGCCAGTTTGACGCTGATTTGGCGTTTGTGGACTGACAAAACGCCAAAAAGTGCGAACATTGCGATTTCATCTCATAATAATTTAAATTTATTTATTTGTATTTTTTATTTATACCTCAAATCCGGTTGCCAAATTAATTTCCCTGATATTTTCGTCGGCTTATTGTGTCTTGGGTTATTTATAAAAACTTGAATAGTTCTAAGTCTTGGCAAATTTTTTACTTTATTGTAGTAAACAAAGAGTTTCATCACGGAAGAACTAAACGCGGACCTTAATGATTCTAAAAACATTCGCATGTTATAAATTTTATTCTTGCTTAAATAAGAACCGATGGATTGTGAAATGACTAATTCACAGCAATTTCAATTCGTAATGGTACTTCGCACACAAATAAATGCCTATCTTATGGCTGATTTCTACGCAAAACCTGAACAATATAAACATTTACTGGTGTTTCAGAGATCAGTTTTTCAATTCGGGTATATATTTATTTTGTTATACACCCACGCATCGGCAATTGTGAAACTGAATTTTTTTTTATAGTATGCGCGTGAAATATTAGTGATAAAATGTCGATTGCGATATTAATTGCACTTATCTAATTAATAAAATAAATCTAACACGCTCCATCTGTGATAATTTTGTTCTCTTTACCGACGCGACGGCGAAAATAATTTTCCTATCTTATCACCGAGTTAGATATTTGTGGATAAAAATTTCGACAAGTTTTGAAATACGTGGCAGGTTATTAAAATATGTAGCTGCATTTTACCAACTTAAATGTGAGTGGGAATGGTACAAAGGTGTACATAATTTCGAACCACACTTGTAGGCGTTATATTTATAATAATGGCCAATGCTTTTGAGGAACGTTACATTGCAACGTATTTTCAAATAATTAACAATGACAGGATCTTGTCAAACGAGACATAATGTAGCATTAATAACACCATCATGAAAATGCACCGATAATTCGCTA